ACAACATCTAGGGAGGTAAGTGATGTTATTATACCCATTTTGCAGAGCAGCAGACAGGGACACAGAGTAAATGATTTGAAGGTAGTTCATAAATGATGTGGGTCAGGGTTGAAATCTAGCTTCTATGCCCATCACACCTTCTCTGATGCCTCCCCCACTCCCATTAAGGCGGTGGCAGAGTATGAGAGGTCCACACATATGGAACTGTGCGGACTCCTAGCATTGTCATTCCTCTTGCAGGCTTCGGGGGATTCAGGGGGTGGGCTATTGTTGTTGTTATTAGCTGTTGCTGAGTCTGCAACAATTCATAACCACCCTCTGTACAAGAGAACAAAGCCCTTGTCTGGTCCTGTACTCTCCCCATGACCAACAGTACATTCCAATCCATTGTCAGGGTCACTGTGTGTTCTGAGTGAATTTCAAGCTCCTAGGTTCATCCTCGAGTAGGATATCAGACAGTTTGTTACAATCTTTAGAGTTTTCAGAAGTAGATCACCAGGCCATTCTTCCTAGTCTACATTGGTCTGAAAGTTCTGCTGAAATCTGCCTATCAGGGGTGATGGCTGGGATTTTAAGTACTGATGACACTGCTTCCAGGATCATAGCAGATGATGTGACGGTAAGGAGGTTGACCAGAGAATCCTAACAGAACAGTGATACCCCCTCCCCAAGAAGGATTTGAGCCTGACCCTCTCCAAAACACTTTCTCCCCGCCTCTGAGAATGCAGCATAAGTGAAGGCACTTTAAGCAGGGCAGGTAAGACAAGCCTGGGATAGGTAGAAAGAGCCCTCCCTAAGCCCCTGCTCTTGACCTGTCCCCAAATACTATCTAACTGCCTCAGATAATTGCAGGCTGATCTAAGGACAAGATCGCACACTGCTTTCAAATGCTGTCACGGGGATTATAATGGCTTTGTTTTCACAGGGGCGAGGGGGAAAAGAAGTTTATGTCTCAAATTAGTAGGTCTGTCATGTTCCGAATTGTTTGCTTTTCTAAAAATGGACTTTGACGTGAACAATTATTATCTAACGCAAGACCTGGGATCTGCCTCTCTGCACACAGTGCCTGGGCTCTCATTCTGTGCACGAGTCTATAGAGTTTTCTCTCTCTCAGTGCTGGAACATAGCACCCCACCCACAGGGCCCAGGGGGTTCCTGTGTCCCCGGGATTCTGGTCACACTCCCCTCTTTAAACTTTCAGTCTACAGGGCAACATTTGGAGGCCAGGTCAAAGGACCTTAGTGACCCAGACATTCAGATGGCTAACAAGCACATGGAGAAATGCTCAAAATCCCTAGCCCTAAGAGAGATGCAAATTAAAACAACTATGAGATATCATGTCACCCCAGTCAAAATAGTAAAATTTAACAGAACAGCAAGCAACAAATGCTGGCGAGGTTGTGGAGAAACTGGAACCCTTATTCACTGGTGGGAGTGTAAAATGGTGCAACCCCTGTGGAAAGCAGTATGGCGCTTTCTCAAAAAGTTGCAAATAGAGATACCATTTGACCCAGCAATTCC